CTCCGCGCTCCGTCCTCCCTCCGCCCCCCCCCCGCCCTCCGAGCCCGTCCGTCCCGGAGCTCAGTGACTTCCACTGTCGCGGTGTAGTTGTCGGTCTTGCAGGAGCCGCCCCCCTCCCCCCAGTAGCCCCAGCCGCCCGGACCGGTTTGCCCACGTTCTCCACCGAGCTTCGCCACCCGTACGGACGCGTCACCCACCTGCCTCATCCGGCGAGCCGGCCTTTCTTTTCTCGGCAGAACCAAACCCACCTGTGTAGAAATGGCCCCTTTAGGTCGCCCACCATCCTCAGTTCTCCCAAGCTAGTCTGTCCCTAGAGCTCAGCAATATAAAACCATAGGGTATTTCAGAAATCCAGTAGCACAGGGTGAGCCTTTGGGACTTAACCGTCTTCCACGTGAAGGAAACTAGGGCTCCGATTCCCTTTATTTCCCCTAAACGGTTATTATTTTGTCAAGCAGATGGAGCACTTTATTTCCAACCTCAGAAATCACGCCATCTCACCGGAATCGATGAGTGACAATCCTAGAGGGGACGAAGTGGGGCTGGATATGTAGTGGGGAAGGGAGGAGCAAACTCTGCAGGTGCTGGGGCTTACCTGCTTCACTCACAGCTGCACAAACTGCCTCACTGTTACTCCATCCATCACTGCTTCAAATGTTTCCATCAGCAGAAGATTGTAAATTCGATCTTTCAGGGAAATTAATCTATTCTGAAAGGCAATAAAATGAAGAAAGGCAAGGAAGCACTGCTAGTTTAAGATATACTACATAAGGGATTTTTTTTTTGTCCTATTATTAAGAAAATTTAGACCTGAAATGTTTTATCAACTTTTACTGTACTATGTGTATTATATTGTTGTGATGGTGGGGGGTCTTTAAAGGGGAAAGCGTTGGTCCTCTTAACGTGTTAGTGTCCATCCTGGGGGGCCTACCTACTACGCATATAAGTACACACCTGGTCAAGAAGTGCTGTAAGTGGCAGCGAGGGTGTTTTCGGAGAGAAGTTTGGATTTTCCTGTCATCCCTTTGAATGCTACACATCCATCTGTTGTAACCCAGTAGTTTGTAATGCAGACATATTTTCGCCTTTGGTCTTCTCTCTCTCCTACCCAGAGTCCTACCAGTCCCCAGCATAAGGATTTCGTCCTATGTCAAACCGATAAAATAAATTCTCTACCCAAGTAGACACGCGGCCTCGTTCCAAAGAGCTGCCCCTCATCTTGAGGTCCCAGGTGGTGAGAGAAGAAATTTGACCTCAGCAGTTCAGCAGTCACGAGGAAGGGGGGAAAGTCGTGATTCATAAGCACTGAAAGAAACCCAGGCTTTTGGCAGAGAATGTGAATTTACACTTTTAGTCCTGACGGATGGGCAGTGTGCGCTAAGCATCTAGCTGAAGTTATCTTTAAACGCCCTTACTCGTAGCAGTTTAAACATTTAGGATGTGGTGATCTTAAAGTATCACTGACATTTTATGTCCAGCTCCCACTCTAAAGCATTAGAAATTACCCTTGAAAAATGACAGACTAAAAACACACATCAAATAAGCTTGCACCAGAACTTTTTTTAAAAAATATACTCTCGTAGCCAGGTGCTAATTTATTTATGAAATTAAGAGAAGTGATGGGTTCTGGCAACAACTATTTTCATGGTCACATTCTAAAACCACTAGGGAATTCGCTACCTCTCAGAGCCACTGATGCTTTGAGCTATCTTTATAAACAGGGCACAAATGTTTACTGCTGTGGTTTACAAGAAAAGGGCTACTAACCTATTTAAAAACCAACCAACCAACTTTTAACTAGGGTGGACAAAGCACCTTGAGTGCTTTGCAAAATTGGAGCTGACAGAGATTTTGAACTTCAAGGGTTCGCTTGTTTTAAAAAGAATACACCTTTTCTTCAGTTTGTAGCAGCAACGGAAGGTCAC